TATAAGGGGGAGTGGAACCCCGCAGATTGGGGGAAGTGGGAAGGCAAGAGAGGCCTTGTGGCAGCGGATGGGGAGTTGTATGGATCAGTTGCATTCTATAATGGTTGCAATTTGGCATTTGCAGAGGGTTTTGTCGAAGAAGAGAGATCCTTTTTCACACGTCTTACTGCTTGATGAAATCATTAAGGTAACCCCATTTTGATTCATAATTGAATTAGTCTAATTTAGTGTTAGACATGAAATGAAAGTCATAACAACATAGGAAATGGCATAACATGTAACTGCTGTTTCCCTGTAATTATTTATACGTCTTGGTGCAGGAGGGTGATCCCATGCTGACAGATCGGGTGTGGGAAGCTCTAGTTAAGGCTTTTGCTACCCAAATGAAGTCCGCTTTTACTGCATCAAGTTTTGTCAAAGAGATATTCACAAATGGGTATCCGAAGCTCTTCTCTATGATGGAAAATCTTCTTGATGGAATTTCACGTGACACTGATGTCAAGGGGGTGTTACCAGCCATAACTTCAGAGGGAAAAGCTCAAATGGTTGTGGCTATTGAAACTTTTCAGATGGCTTTCTTGGCTGGCTGCCTAAGCCGTCTGTCAGATTTTGTTAATTCTGTTTTCCCAGTCTCAAGTCGTGGTAGTGTTCCCTCCAAAGAACAGATCTCTAGAATTCTCTCTCGCATTCAGGAAGAAATCGAAGCTGTTCAATTGGATGCTCGATTGACTCTTCTTGTTCTGCGTGAAATTAGTAAGGTTTTGCTGTTGATTGCAGAACGAGCTGAATATCTGGTATTTCATTTTTCCTGTGCAAAATCTGTTTTCCTTACTGATTTCAATAACTTCTATGTGCAGAATTATACATTAGTATACACTAAACACTTCATATCCCTGATTTAGAATTGGGATCAGGATTCAGGGTAGGGGAGGATGAACGAGGTTACCGCATCCTTGCCTTTCCTACATCTGCTATGGTTTGTCTATAGGTGTTTATGATTAAGAACTTGTTAATATTTCGTCCCTGCAGTGTCATTGTAAGTTTTTGGTATATTTGGGAAATCAGGTCGCAGTGATTGTATTGCATCATGATGTAACTGCATGGGGTAAAGTTTAAATATCATCAAATAAACATATTCACTAAAAGTTACAACACTTTTCTATTTTGTTATTTCTAAAATATGAACTTGAGAAATATATGTGGTGTCCAATTTGTTTATGCCGATAATGTTTATGCAATTCTATTTGATCTAATCATGGACTTGATCTTGCTACTAGTGATCAGTTTAATCTCATTGATGATTTCTGAAGATTTCCTTTATCCTCAACCCTGAAAAGTCTTCGCCAAATCTTATAATAGTATACCAATTAATACAACTCTGTGTGTCATGTAGTACATAATTGCCGTATACAAACACACACATATATATGAAATGATAACTGTATTCAACTTTGTTAAACTGGCAGATATCAACCGGTCCTGAAGCTCGCCAAGTATCTGGTCCTGCTACTGCATCTCAGCTCAAGAACTTTGCATTATGTCAGCATCTACAAGAAATTCATACACGCCTAACTTCTATGATCATGGAGCTGCCAACTATTGCAGCAGATGTGTTGTCACCTTCACTTGGTGCAATATATGGTGTTGCTTGTGACTCTATAACATCCTTGTTCCAGGCAATGATTGATCATCTTGAATCTTGCATCTTGCAAATCCATGACCAGAACTTTTCTGCACTGGGCATGGATGCTGCTATGGACAACAATGCTTCGCCTTACATGGAGGAGTTGCAAAAGTTCATTCTTCACTTTCGTCGTGAGTTCTTATCTAGGCTGTTGCCGTCTTCAGCCAATGCTACAACTGCAGGAACAGAAACCATATGCACAAGGCTTGTGAGGAGCATGGCTTCAAGGGTTTTGATTCTCTTTATCAGGCACGCTTCTCTTGTTAGACCCCTTTCGGAGTCAGGAAAGCTGAGAATGGCCAGGGACATGGCTGAGCTGGAATTAGCTGTGGGCCAAAATTTGTTCCCAGTTGAACAATTAGGAGCACCATACCGAGCTCTTCGAGCATTCCGGCCACTAATCTTCTTGGAAACTTCTCAACTAGGAGCATCTCCTCTTCTTCAAGACTTACCATCTAGTGTAATACTGCATCATCTCTATTCCCGAGGCCCTGAAGACTTGCAATCGCCGCTCCAGAGGAACAAGCTTACACATTTGCAATATTCGTTGTGGCTGGATTCTCAAGGGGAAGATCAGATCTGGAAAGGAATCAAGGCAACACTGGATGATTATGCTGCAAAGGCTAGGGCTAGAGGAGAGGAGTTCAGTCCTGTATATCCTCTTATGCTTCGATTAGGTTCATCGTTGAGTGAAACTGCACCTTCATCTCAAAAATAACCAAATCATCTGCAATTCATCCTGTAAATTAGAATAAACAAATCGAAGCAACAGTTGCCATGTTGGTTGCCTAGTAGCAAAATCTTTAGCAATGAACATCTCTGGGAAAAAAACTGCAAAAGTGTTACTGGGTCTACTTTAAACCTTTAGGTAAGCACGGTCTCATCATCTTTAACTTGGATTTTTCTTTCAAAATGAATTCTTTTGTGATGAACTGACAATTCGTTTTGTCATCTCTCTCGGTGTTTAGGGTCTTATCAGCTTTGGGAAAATAGGATCAATGGCAGATTTCACAAGTGGTTGTAGTTGAATAAAAATGCCTGCCTTAAACTTGGCATTCTATGCTGTTTGAATTTTGAGGTCACCACTGGTTCATTTTTCTGGTTATGTTCATCTGTTCTTTCAATTTATAATTCTTTCATTTTGTCATATAGTAGGGTTCCCTGTCTCTCATTCTGACAAACTTATTATATGAATAATATCTTCCTTTTTGGTGTGAAAAATGTTACTGCAGACTGAAATCAGATATTTCATGGCTTCTGCCTTCTCGTATGTTTTCATAGATTTATTAAACTAAAGTTCACACTTAATAAAAAAAACTGTAATATGATAAAAGATTTAAATAACCCGCATGTTTTGATAGTAATTTATTATTATAAGATGAATTTTTTTTAGGGATATTATGTCAGCAGTCTCCTTTGTTTTTGGTCTGACCAAACCGACTTTGGTCACATGTTTTCTAATAAAGTGGGCTTGGTCCCTTACGTTATCGATCCGCTGTCGACAGCACTTCCATGGCTTTCGCCTTTAATGATCTCATGTGCCAAGTACTCTTGAGTACCAAAAAATGACTTCGATCAAGCATTGGTAGGTTCTGCAATGAGCTCAGGAAGAGGACTCACTTGATGATTTGATTCATTCTTTATTTTGTCATTCTTAGGGTCGTTCGAAAAAAAAGGCTGGATACAATACGACTCCAGTACACATGTTGGTTGCAAACATGCAGGCTGAGTACAGAATGCTGAACTTTTCAATTCCAGGGTCGAGTTTGATGATTTAACCAGCGTCGGCGAGACTTGCATCTAATAGAGAGGTCGAAATCCAAAGCATTATATGCCCATCTTCTCTGTAAATGACCCTAAGCATGTGCAGATACTCCAGTGAGAACTTTGGCCGCGTAAAATCTGCAGAACAATAGAACATGATCAATGGCATTTCCTAACAGCTAACATTAAAAATGCAAGAGAAAAAGGAGCTAACCTGGCAGCTTGGGAAGTACCTTCCAGGTTGTCTTTGTCTGAGAGCATGCAAGTCTCCTCCATGGCAAAACTCCGTAACCAAGCAAGAAAGCATCTCTGTCTCAAAATGTGTATACAAGGTGAAGGTAGGGAGGAAAGAATGATCCAAAGATTGGAAACCTCTCTCTCTCTCTCTCTGTTTGGACTCGGAGAAGCTTCTTTCGACTCGTCAAAAGAGCTTTACCCATATCTTTCATCGCAAAATATGTGCTGGTTCCTGTCAATACAGACTGATGAAGCAAAGGAATGTAGTCGGTGGATGTGATAATGAGAATTTGAGGAGAAAATTCTAATTTTCTCTCTATTTTATATCTTTATTATTTTGAATCAAATTAAATTCAGATCAAACTCCTAAAAAAATTATCAACTCAATTAACAATTACCTTTTTATTCTTCTAACTTAATATTAATTATTTTAAGATTGCCATAATTTTTGACGTTTCTCCATAGACAGATAAGAACAAAATGAATTTACTGAAAAAATGGATCATATTTATTATGGTGGGTTTAGGGTTTATGTATTAAATTTATGGAAATATTAAATATCGGTTTAAGAGAGGTTAAATACACATTTTATTATTAAAATCTCACACCTTAATTTAAAGGGTAAATCACAAATTTGATAATTGAACTTTACTCTCTCTCTCTCCTATTTCACTCGCTATACTTTAAATCTTTTCAATTTCCTCACTGAACTTAATACATTGAGATTTTTTTGTCACTTGGTTGATAAATAGTTAAGGGCGTTAAAATGTGTTGTTATATAAATACAAAACAATGTCGTTCTGGTGAAATTTTTGTTTTTCTTAAGCGGTGTCATTTTTAGCACGTTTAACTATTTAACGGCGGAATGACCAAAATAGGAGAGAGAGTAAAGTTCAATGACAAAAATAACCTAATGTAGTGAGGAAATTAAAAACTTTTAAAATTCGGTAGCAAAATGGGAGAGAAAGTTCAGTGATGAAATTTGTAATTTACCCTAATTTAAATTAAAACCGATTGAACATATATTTTTTAGATTCTTAACCCTAAAACTCCAGTAACTAAAATCATCTGAAGAGTAGTTATCCTTCAACAATATGTTTACATAGTATTAAGGGGTTGATCCCCGGATTTGGCAGTACAATTAATTAAAGAAGAAAAAAATATGTAATCAACTACAGTACCTAAACTTTAAATCAGACCAAACAAACTGGCCCTTGTATTCTATCTTCCTATACCTATCTCAGATAAATTAACTCTATCATTATTTCAGTTTAATTAATTTCGTATCTCTACCTGTACAAAAACCAGTATTTTTTGGAAGCTGCTGCCTGCCTTGTCTTCCAAGGTATCAATCTTGAGTTCTTCAGTGCTTTTGCCTTTAAACTGAATCATGATTTGTTGAGTGATGCTTGATTATCACATCATTATTTCTCTGTAATTCCGATGAATCCGTTGCTTGAGATTCGGGTTTGGATGAAATGTCCGATGAATGAAGTTCATGATCATGGCGAGCTTGCGCTGTCCATATGAGAACCAAAATTACCATGACGACAGAGAGAAGAACCATTGCCGCCCATGAGATGCGAGCCGATCGCTTCCACGGTCTGCAGTGTTGGGAAAGGATCTCCGAAAATGCGTCCTTCACGGACCGGCATTGGACTAGATTCTCCACGCCTGGATAAACGTTTAGCAGGTTTTGAATTGAACTCGTGTAGGCCTCGACCGTTTTGTAATCGTTGCTGGATATGAATTGTCCCTCTTGACAGGTCCCATTGTTGGCATCTGAACAAGTAAATACTTTCAATATCTGCAAACAGATTGGACAATTAGTCACTGATATCCGAGATCTAATCGACAGTGTCGGATTTAACCAATGTGGTAAACTCGAAATGCATGTCAGGTAGGAGTAATGTATAGGAACAAAATTACAGAACCTGAAACCACATGATCGATTGCATACCTCTGGTATGTCGCCAATCCTGATCGTATTAGCAGGGCAGTTATTTGGCTGATATGTATATTCCGGTGGTGCAGAGAAAGGGTTGCAAACATGAGAAAGAGTTGGATATGTTGTTGCTTGCAGCTGCGATATGTTTGAATTCACCTGAAGAATTGAAATCACAATGATCATTAAATTGTTTATTACATTTCGTGTTTAGTTCGGTTCATGTCGTTGCGCAAGTTCATATTGAATTTGGATTTAGGTTAATCAGGTTAATTTTCGAGTTCGGATTAAACATATGAAGTAAAACATCAAATGAGATTGAATTACCTCATTAACAAGGTTGTAAATTCCAGCACTAACATCAGAGAGGACTGACTCTGCAGACAGCAATTCATCACAAGGGAGGATTGAACTCAAAGTGTTGTTGTATGGATTTTCTTGGAAGTTTTCTAGGGCGGTGCATGTATCTCCTGAAAACCTGGAATTCAAACATTTGTGTTCAGTTTTTCAGTTCAATCAAATCTGGAAAAAATCCTGAGAAAATAACATATAGATTGAGAAAACCAGATAAATATTAAGCTTGCACTTACTTCTCCAGGAAGAAATAAACCCCAAAGAACAACCAGCATAGAATTGTCAAGATCCAACACATTCCAATTAGCCTGAAAAAAATTGGAAAAAAAATTAAATCTTCAGCTAAATTTCATCACCTTCAATCATTGATTCATTAAAAATCTCAAGCTTATGAATGCTCAAGTGTCTTACCAGTAAAGTGCTCGTCGAATTCTCAAAATTCCAGTCACTGCAGAAGAGGAAAAAATTCAACTTTGATAAGAACAATGGCAAAAAAAATCTAAATTCGATAAGGATTGGGGATTTTGTTCGTGATCATGAAAAGTTTCAGAAACATTGATAAACATACCTGACAAAGCAATAACTGCTACCATGTTCAAGGAAATAGTCACAGTGGTTACTATAAACCTGTAAGAACAAATAGAAACAAGGATCCATAATCAATACCAGAGACACACTCGGGTTCGAGTAACATACATACAAAGATACTAAGTAAGTTCGAGAGGGATTTACACAATCTTGAGACCCCTTTCGATCAATCGCCTGTTTCTCCTCGCCTGTCTCGCGATATCGTCGGCTTGGATATCCAACCTCCGAGATGTAGTAGTAAGAAAAGTAGAAGCCTGACCAGTTGCATCCGTGTCTCCCAAGCTATCCCTCATTTCTTTCATGGCTCCCGTTGTGTTATATATAGTTTCCGATGCCCCGTTTGCCGTTCTTATAACAATGTCCACCACAGTTTTCGCTTCGGAATGGAATCTAACTGTACCTCCAAGGGCTAAACCTGAAGCAACTCTGAAAACGAGAACATGGTTTTCTTCAGAGCCCGGAATTGATATCGATCTTTGAAACTCGGTAACATGAGATTATTGAATCGAATTGATTAAATTTGAGATGTTGAAGAACTTACAGTGTAAAGATTGTGAAGATTATAGCTAGGAGAAAAGGCCATAGGTAACATTGCTTGTGACAGACCGATTTCGTTCTGGGTTTTCTGCTTCTTCTGCAACAGTAAGCAATTGCCAGGAGATATATTCCGTACAAAAATCCACATAAAAGCCATGAGAATGCGATTGCGAAGCCGTAGATCCCTGTAAATACAACTGACTGCAAAACAGCGGAAATTTATTCAAAATTAGATGGAGATTATTTCGAACCCAAATCAAATAAAATTATGTTTGAATTTTAATTAGTGAAATCAAACTTCGAATTCCGATCAAATTCTAATAAAAAAATAATGTGAAATTGTAAAAGAGAAGAGAATTACAGCCCAATAATGCTTGTTGGTGATATCAAATCCTCCTCTATACTTGTTGAAATTGTCCAATGGATCCACCCTCACTGTATCATCTTCATTGCTTGAATTTGTATCTAATCAAAATTGAAACAAAACCAACCTATTAAAACTTACAAGTCATGGATTTATCAGTTTCGTTAACTAAAATGATCACTAAATTAAAAAAAAATATTTTGATCGCTTACATTATTGATTTATAACGCTTTGATTAAATGTAATTAAAAAAAATTTGATCCTTAAACTTCAGATAAAATGTTTTTTTGATCCTTAAACTTCAAATAAAATATTAATTTAATTCTTAAATTTTAGATAAAATATTAAATGAATCTGATAAAAAATAAAATGAATTAAAAAATTTAGGATCCAAAGATCGATGACAACGACGGTCGACAATGACTAATGATGATGGTGAATGAAGGCTAGTGACCAAAACGTTATAAAACAATAAAATTAATGAGCACAATATCACTTTCAAAATTTAATGACCAAAAGTAAACACTTATAAAATGAAAGTGACCATTGTACATAGTTTTACCCTTAGATTAATGTGTTGCATCCCAACCAGTTTGTCATACACTAGACTCGGACCCTCTCATATATTTTTGGGCTCGGCTCATAGTTCATACCTTAAATAAGAGTTTTAAACTTGGAATTGGCTTAAGATATTGTTTTAATTAAATATTTAGTTTTTATTTTAATTGGTATAGGAAGAAAGAATATATTTTCCAATATTTTATTTTCTACGAAACATATTTATTCCACCCTTCGTAATCATAATAGAGGAGTCAAATGTAATTAGAACTGACCTGGGGAAGGTGAATCAAATTGGGCAGCAATTGCTATGAAATTCAAGGCTAAAATCAGCACCGTCAACAACGTTGTTCCATTTGTAAACCCCATTCTCAACCTGCCAAACCATCAATGCCATTATTTTCCGAGCGCGAACTTATGAAAATATATTAGAGTTGTAAAATATAGATATATAAAATTAGATAATAAAAAAAATATTTAAATTATACGAGGATTTGAATGGTCAGAGGATTGGACAGAGTAGTTGCTCTACAGACATGTTAGAAACCAAAAATGGGAAGTTGAAAGCAAAATATTTATAGCAAGAAGCCATGAGGTTCAGTTGTAAAAAAGTAGGGGACTTGAAGTGTGAATGGAGAAAGTAATATATGAAAGTGTTGGCATAACTTTTGTAAAAGCATTGGCCTCTCAAGCAAGCAAAGAACAATTTCCTTTTTACTCTCCGAGGATAAGAGATGAAGAAGAAACTTGATCTGCAAAGGAAATGGAACTACTCACACGACAATCTTCAAACCTCTGCCACAACAAATTCTATAATACTCCCAGATAAATAGAAACTCTTGTAAAAATGAATGATCAAATTGAAAAATACTTTGAGGATTTCATATCCATTTTCATCGAAATCTCCATCAGCTTTAAAGTTCCCCCGGAGTTTGAGGTGAGGGGGTTTGTTTAATACTGAACCCACTTGCGAAACAACCCTCTCGGCTTTACCACATGGATATATATTCATTGGGTTTGTCTGAAATGGAATTGGTTTGAACCGAAACCATTTCCTTTTGTCTCCCTGTTCTTTGCAAAAGTCAAGAAAGAACCAAACTTTGGTTTTTGTTATTTATTTAGCGGTCAAAATGGTTGTCCGCCTTTTTGTCAAGATGATGTGCCCGCGTTTCTTCTCTATTTGGGTCAACTATGTATTTAGTCAGTCAAGTATTTCTGTGGTTTTATTTTGATCACCAACTATTTTTCTCAAATGTATATCTATTGTTATGTTTTAGTTTCGTTTTGGTCATTTGTCATTAAAAAATGCCTTAAGGGATACTTTTATCCCCGTAGTAGACCCAATTTATTATTTTCGCCCCTATGGTTTTTTACATCAATTTAGTCATCGAAGTTGTTTAGGGGCATCATCCTAGCCCTTGAAGTTCGTTTTGACTAACAGAATAGTTGGTCTTGTGCATTTGTTTATGCCAAGAATTTCCACGTCAGCCAATATTATTGACGTGACTTAATGATGACATGGTATGTATTAGATATATAAATAATAAAATATTTTAAATGTTTACTAAATACAACGGTCATAAAAAAATCTCAAAATTTTGACCTAATCTCTTAATCTCATTGAAATAAATAATAAAATTTTGGGAATGTTTTTCTGATCGTTGTATTTAGTAAATATTTTAATCTAATCCATCAATCCACAAACACAGAAGATTCACGATTTTGTTAGTCAAAATGATCAATGAGCTTCAAGGGTTAGAATGATGGCCCTAAACAAATCCGAGGGCTAAATTAATGCAAAAAAAAAAATCATAGGGGCAAAAATAATAAATTAGATCTACTACAAGGACAAAAGTAACCTCAAAGCCTTAAAAAATTAACGATGGTGTGAATGTGTTACCATAAGATAATGTCATGTCATCATTGAAAAAAAAATTATCACATCAACAGTTCTATTTATTCTTTTTGGATGACCAAAATGAAACAAAAACATAACATTAGGTATGACTTTATAGAAATATTTGAGTGACAAACAAAAATAGAGTGACTAAATATGTAGATTACCCTTTTAATTTTTGTGCAACAAAGTCCAAGCTATAAAACCAACTTGTTGATTGTAGTTGAAAGTAAGATTAATCCTTTTTGACACCGTAAACCGCCATTTCATACTTTTTGTTTTCTGTTAACTAAAGCTATAAAACCAAATTGTGACTTCGACAGATGATTAGACCACATTCAAAGCACAATTCTTTCTTACAAAACACGTGTTTTGCCTGCTTTTTCACTCTCCATAATCATCTTTTATGTACTTTCATTTATTACATTTCTATCCCTTAACTTTTAATTCATATAGAATGAACCAAAAAATAAATAAATCATTCAATCTAACTGTTCATTTAAGAAATGAAAATGAACATCTCTCAAGTATGATAACGAAAAATGTTAAACTTCATAAATGCCTGGGACGTGTGGACATATAATTGTTAATTGAAATTTGTTTTGAGTTTGATGATCATAAAATTAATTAAATAATTTTAATAATAACTTAAATTATCATAAAGAGGGTCACATTTGATTGAGAGTAGTTGGTTAAAATATTAATTTGATCTGAATTAGATTGAAAATTGAAAAGTGATGATTGAGAATTTAGGGACAAAATTGAAATAGAGGGAAAAGGATGAATAATGCATGGCGATTACCCCAATCGATAGTTGTAGTAGATTTTGATGGATAAATTTGGTATGTGTCATTGATATATCACTTGGATTTCAATATTTAACACTTTGATTATTCAAGTCAAAAGATTTCGAATTATTCGAGTTGACGAGTTCTATTTTATAACTCGGAATTGACTTGAAATTGTTTTCGAGTTGAGTTTATAAAATTCGATTCGAGTCGAGTCAAATTTTTTAATTTTTTAATTTAATTATTAATATTTATAACATTATTTGATTCAAATTTAAATGTTATTTTATAACCATATACAATGCATATATATATTTTTCGTATTTTTTCATATGTGATTTACATATACCATACAAAGTCGACGAACTCGACTCGAACTAAACTTGAAAATCAATATACTAATTACTAAAATTTTCGAGTTATTCGAGTTGTATTTTACAACTCGATTTGAACTTAAATTTTTTTCGAGTTGAGTAGTGTTTATGAAATTACAACTCAAAGTCAATTCGAATTAAATTTTTCTAAGTCGAGTCTAGTTTTGGTCCACCTTTCAACTTCGATATATATTGGTGACTTTTGATCCCAAATTAGGTAATTGAAATCCTAATGTTCAAATAAATTCATTGATTCACGCATGTACTTGACAAGTAATCTTTATGTGTAATATATTTGTATTTGAAGCTTCGGACGAGGGTCCAAACTTAATTCATATTGACTAGATTAGAAAGGAAATCCTGCTTCTAGATCTAAACCCTTAAACAAAAATAATAAATTAACAAATATATCTTTGTACAACATTATCAAAGCAAAATAAACAAAAACTAAACATAACATAACATAATTGCATTCAGTCGAATTTCGTTAAAAAAACTTGATTTTGATTTTATAATATATAAAATTATTATATAATCACGAAGCTTGTAAACTATATAAACAGATTTAAAAAACCATCACGGTATCTTTATAATTAAAATCGTTAAAGTTTAATTTTTTATTTCACGAGAAAGCTAACAAATTGTAGGCTATAAGAAGGGGTTAAGATGGTCCTAATCTAATCCATGTTTTAATTATAATTATGATAAGGACACTCAACATCTTCGTAGGGGGAACTCTATTAATAGGCTTGTCCTTCCTATATATTATATTATATGGTAAATTATACCCAAATCACTTAATTATAAGTTAGGTAAGAAATATGTCACTTTTTTTTGTTACAAAGAAAGGTTTAATTAACAGTTAGGAGTCCTCCTCCTCCACTTGTCCAAGTCCAGTTGGAGGAGACGATACATATCAACTGGCGGATGAGCGAGTTCTGACTGAGTAGGAGTGCCCGTGCGTCCAAGTAGTGCTAAGGCATCGGCAACACCGTTAGCTTCACGGTGAATATGCTTGAAAGTGATTTGCCACTGACAATGCAGGAGATCCCGGAAACGACAGACCAAAGTTGGTTCAAAAGGGGAAGAAGGTGAAGAGAAAATCTGAATAGCTTCTTTGTTATTCATCTCGACTTCTATGCTTCTGAATCCTCGAATCCATGCAACCTCTAAACCGTCAGCAAGAGCCCAAAGTTCGGCATGGAGAATGGAACAATGCCCCAAGCTACGATAGCACTCATCAATCCAATCTCCTTCGGAATTGCGAAGGACGCCGCCTCCTCCTGCTCCCATTGTATTTTGATTCACAGAACCGTCGATGTTGAGTTTGGTAAAGCCATTAGCAGGAGGCTTCCAAAATTGAATTCCGTTCCTCTAAATGGTGCACTTGGGTCCGGACATGTGATTTAGTCTTTTTTGAAACATGCCATTGTATCCTTACGATTGAAATGTATGTCTCATGTGACATGGTATAATAACATTTGTTGTCTTTAAATTTACATATTCTATTAAATTTGTCTTAATTGAAAACAATATAATTAATTTAATTCATTGTATTTAAAAATTTCATCGTTTTAGTCTCTCTCTTTTTTTGCGCTATTATCAAATCAAGAGAACTTATCTGATTAAAGTAGTAGTTGGATAAAGATATTCTACCATAAAACATTAACAAGTTATTATTAATCATTCTGCTCCGGAAGTTCGCCCGTCACCCCGCCGATGGCTGTGAAATAGCATCACGCAGCTTTCAATTTAAATTTCCAACGCAAACATCATAAAAGACAGAGTTCTCGTGCTTAGTAAATTTCAGGCACCATAAATAAATTTAAATTCAAGCTTCATTTGTTAGTTGTTACAATGATCAACAACAGAAAATATATTCAATAAACAAAATCAGAAACTCGAACAACATCCGAGGGAAAAAACTCAAAAATACATAAAACTTGAACTACAATACTAAGTATATTTTGACTAAACAAAAAACAACACATTCCAGTAAACATAATTTAAAATGCAGGCTAAAAGATAGTATTTTTAAGTAAAACTTGCAATTGCACGAAAGAAACAACAGAGCACATCTCTAAACCCCAAGCTCCGAAAGGCAACTTTAAAAATATTCAAAGATAAATTCTAACCTTGGTATGAAATGCCATCATCATAGTCCCTAGGAATCATTGGAGGTGCATATGGAGAAAGATTAGGTTGAGCTGCAAAATGGGTACGCTTTCCCGGAGAATCGGCAACTCTTTCCTGAAAACAAACGCAAAAGATATTCCTAAGCATCTTTTGGTCCAAAACATGGTCATAACTCGACATATTTACTTAATTCTATTTATATCAACAAAATATTATCATGAATTGGCAACTTTGAAAGATATTCTTTTTACTTAAATCTAATATATTCCAAGTCTAAAAATTAATTGATGTAGAAAATGTTTTATCAGCAGACATAACGAATGCTCCAATGCAAATCTTCCAACAGAAGCCTCAATGAAAAGATGGAAAGAAAACGATGAAAATGCACCCTACTGTGATTCAGGCATACTGTAATGAACATGCCACAAGAACCTAAGATAATCAATAAAAAAATCCAGAGAAACAGCTGCTTCGCCAAGGTACTAATTAAATCTCCGTTTAACATCTCTACCATGAAAATACAAAATACTATCTCAATTACCTCCATACGATCAATTAGCTTTGCTCCACATCTCTTCAGATGTTCCAGAGTGATGATTTACCTTTTAAATGATATCTGATAACTTAGCACACAGAAGAAAGAACCAGTAAATAATACCTTTTTGTCTTTACTTTTCCTGGCTATATTAAGTTCTTCCTTCCTTCTCTTGCTAATTTCCTTCTGCATAAAGCATAAATGAGAACAAGTGCACACATTCACTACACACACGTGCACGCGGAACACGTAGTACAATTATGGTATCATCCCAGCAAAATATGACTAACTCCAATAATTACAGCCTGACTCATTGTAGAAGCATTTTAAGTACACTTAAGAAATATGTTCTACATGTGGCATAATATGTAAGTCAAACAGTTGGCTGATGAGTTTAAATCTAGACTTACGGGAACAGTAAAGCTTACAGTCATCCATCTGCACCTCAAGGCGACATCCCGGACAGTCTTATTTTGTAACTGCAAAGCTATTTTTGCGTAACGAATTATGCTCGACTCTGATGCATATCTGTGAGATGTCACTCAGAGAGTTAGAATTAAAATTTGCAGTCTCCCAGTTCCAACAAAAGAAAGAACTATAAATAAATTAGGCTAATAATGAGCTCATTCGGCAAAATGTGGAAAAATAGCAACTGGATTATCTAAAACAACTAAAAAAGAATTCGGATAAACACAATGACATTCAACAGACCTCTATCTCCATTAAAATTCCTACAAGGAACAATGATGGATATAAATATGTTGCTCCTATGCTTATTACCAGCTGAACTATTCCATTCTCTTCCATTAATAAGCTTAAACTCTGTGGTATGCAGAGTGACCAGGGATTTAAATAGCCGCCGGCTATCAAAATAGCATCCATTATACAGTAGTAAAGGCACCATTCGAAACCGTTATTTCACAACCACGAGACCGCAATCGCACCAGCTATTGCTGCCATCGCGAAAAAGGCAATACAACCGAAAATGGCAACCGCGATAAATGTTACGCGACGGTAACATCAATTTTACTATTTCCTTCTTATTCCAACCAGTTTGAATCGATAAAAATCACATTCCCAAAAGTTAAAATTCAAAATTAACAAAATAGAATTTCACCAAAACCCCAAAATTCCATGCCAACCAAAAGAGAAAAAAGAGTAAAGAAAGCTCACTTTTTTAACCCGTTTTCTAGTATAGCGTGCTCCTCTAAGGTCCAATCTAAGGAAATAACAGGATTATGCTTCAAACCCGAACCCGAGGTCTCAGGTTTAGGATTCCCGTTGCTCAAGTGAGCTCCATGAAAAGAAGATGACGCGTGATTTGCTTCCTGTTGATGGTTCCCGATGGGTTCGCCATTAATTTTAGATTCAAAACCTTCCTGTCTTCAGAATAAAATGGAAACACCAGAGACAAGTTGGTTCCTTCCCGCTAGCTAAGGAGTTCTCGCCAGGAAAGAAGCAGAACCTAGATTAGAAAAAGAAATTTGTTAACAAATTGTGAGAAATAAGAGAGAAAATTCAAAGATTAAGAAAGAAAAATAGAGTATGGGGTATTATTAGACTGAAGGAAGCTCCTTTTTTTCCTTTTTTTTTTTGTAATTGTAATTTGTGTAAGCAAAGGGAGTTGAGAGATAGAGGGTGTACGGAAGGAGCATCAATCAAACTCCATTCGAAGTGATTTGAAGTTTTCCAAAGTTCAAAGGACAATTCTTTTCATTATTAACTTCATCTCTTCGAGAGAGAGAGAAAAAACTATTTCTTTCTGTTATATATATATATATATATATATATTTGCTATATTTATTTTTTTGGACGACTTGGGGAAAATATAAGGTCAAATTCTTTTATTTAGGCCTATATATCAGGAAGAGTTTATTTTTTTATTTTTTTAATCATTATATTGTCAAAAAAAATTTATTTAAATAAGAATTGTGAAATTTATTAAGTCGATTTTTTGTTAATTATTACATTATATATAGTTTATAAATTTAATTTATGTTAATTAATTTAATCATTTTAAGTTTTATAATTTAATTAAATTATCTTTATATTTTTGAGTCAAGAATGAAATCGCAAGATTCAACATTAAACTAAAATCGATCAAATTAAAATATAAAAATCAAATCTATAATTTATATATAGTATAAGGACAAATATAAGAATTTGATCAAAATATAATATTTATTAATTGTAGTGTTTACCCCTTGCGTTGTAACAACATTAATATTTGATCTTTTATTTTAAAAATTTTAAAATCATCTTTAAGCTTTTATTTATTTTAATTAAGTTCCCTTTGATTGTTTTAATATTTTTTGATAAATCATAATTTTTTTAATTTAATCTTTTAAATTTTTTAAAAAGTTTTTAAAAAACTCCTTCAACTTATTTTACATAGACCTAGACCTGACAAGCTTGACCAAAATCCGATTATCAGAATCGATTTATCTGACCCAATATTCGATATTAAATCGAACATGATGATCAAATTTGATTCGAATCTTGAACCATACTCAATCCAAAATTTAGTTGACCCAATATGGATCCATATCCAATTTGACCCGAATTGAAAACAACCTGAACTGAAATTAACCCAACCTGAACCAAAAGCAATCTAAATCAAAAAACCCAAACCGAAAGCAATTCGAACTGAAAATCTATATATACTTGATTAGACTTATAACCGAATTAAGCCTAAATGATAAGATTAACCCAACCTAAAAATCAACCGAACTGATATTGATCTAAATTGAAAAACAACTGGTATGATAGTCACCCGACCCGGAATTGACCCACCCAAAAATTGACCCGACCGCTACCCAACCATAACTGATTTACCATACACCCGAATTAAATTCAAATCAGACTCGATCCGACCTGAATAAAATTAAACCGAATATAATCTATACCTGAAATAATCTAACTCGAAATGATCCAACACAGACCTGATTAGAATAACACGTTTGCCACCTCTACATAGACGCTCCACTGAATATATATATATATAAATGTTAAACCAAAATTTCTTATTTAAAACAAATAATATTTTTTTTATAAGAGCAATTTCGAGTCTCCACAAAATAGGGCAGAAATTAAGTTAGTTGACAATGCCTTGTTTGATTTTGAATTGACTTGAAAATAAGTAGCTTCCAAAAATGTCTTCATTTGAGTTATGGGTCTCCATAGTTGTCAGATTCCCAATTATTGGACTTTCTTTTACAATATTTTCTGCATTAACTGTCCTTGTCTTTTGTTTGAGAGTTGTATAAATTATTGGCATTTCATCAAAATATTTTAACATTTGATTTCCCACTTATCAAATGACTAAAAAGTACTACATCTAATCATTTGAAATAATACCCCCACGACATGGATAAAATTAAGATTAAATACAAAAAGAGGTAAATATATATTAAATTTAAAATTTATATAAAATGATTTTTTTTAAAATATTATTCTATCAAAGAAATTTAAGAGCCTCTCCCATCCAATAAATGATTTCCTCTCTCTCCCACCATGCAATGAATTTAAGAAATCTGATGGTCTAATTACATTTTATGTCACTAGTAGTTTCGAAATCAGTGTAATCAGAAGTTTTTGGTTTAATTGTTTTAAGGACCCCACCAGTTTCAAGATTAACAAAATCAAGCACCGATTCAAAATTTCCTGATTTAATTACCTTTTTAAGACCTTTTAATATTACAATTAGGTGGCGTTTGGTTGGATGAAATCTCTTGGAATTGGTGGCCAATTCCACCACTTTCCCATGTTTGGTTCAAATTTTTTCAAGGGAATTGGAATCTCTGATGGAATTCAATTCCATCAAATGAGGGAAAGTGAATTTCATCTCATAAAACCAAAGTAGGATGTTTTTCTATGAAAATTGATATTTTCTTGTCTTTGGATTTTTGCATAGAACATTTTCTATTGTTTGATTTTTTTTTTCAGAAATCAATTTATGAATTCCATTTTCATTTTATATGAAAAAAATGTGAAAGAAGATAAGAATTAAGTTATAATACCGACGAGCACACTTGTTCATAGACAGAGTCGGGGGTATTTTCGTTTCAATACTTCAAGTGGGTAAATTATTTGTTTCGATAGGTCAATAGGGTTTATAACTTGGGATCTACGAAATTTTTTACAGCAACGGATAAACTCTTCACATCGAAGTGACGAGTTCGCTTGAATTTTTTTTTATTGATCCCAAGTATGTGGGTCCCATGTGGGCCAATATTTTAATATTTCTAACGAGATTCGTCACGTTACTTGAATTTTAAAAACTATCAGTTGGGCAACAGGTAGAGTTTGAAATTAAAAGAAAACAAATTTTGAAAATCATCAGGTCGACGTAACGAGTTTCTCCGAATATAATTTTAAAAAATATTAAAAAAATTAAATAATACAAAATAATATAGTGCATAATAAAATTTATTTATATTTTCGTAGTTCTTAACAATGTCGAGGAGTGGTTGAATGATAATGGTGTGAGGCTCGTCGAGTACGTCAGGGTCGTTTGTCTTGATAGTCTTCGTTTTCATATTTGTTTGCTTCTTGAAGAGGTGTATTGAACATCACTCAACTTTGAGATGCACCTTCGAAATACGGTGATGGGTTAATGGTATTTGACGTCATCATTGTCGTCATTAACTCGACTTAGCTATGTTGTTAACCATATATAATATGATCCCATTCACCCTTATCCGCTTCATCGGTCGAAGATACTTGTGTGCTTTGCATTGCATCCCATGAACCTCCAACCTAATTCGCTTGAATCTTCGTCGAAGCATGATATAGAGAATAAAAACCAAAACTGGTCTATGATGCAAAAAAACCCAACAAAAGCATAATCAAAAGCAGAAGTAGAAGACAAAGATGATGATGATTCCTTGGCCTTTCATTGTTCACATACCCTCTCTTCTGAAGTCAATAAATATGATTTCTCATTTGTTTGATAATTTCAGAGGTAGGGATAAATGTCAAAAATCAAGGTCAACGGGTGTAATATCGTAACATATATGGACTGATAAATGATGCTAATTTCATTGCTCAATGTAGCCATCATGCTTCCTCGACCAATTATCTTTATGTTACTACGTGTATCAATTCTATTGAGTGTGTCCATATCAAATATTTGCGTAGAAATCGGTTGATGAGACTCAATTTGTCACAATACTCTATCTGTTGTGTGAATCTCAACAATTGCAAAGTGTAGCAGAGGCGTAACGACACACCATAACTCCGACCCTTCAAAAACTCTAAGTGGCAATACCAGGTAGATCTCACCATCATAATACGAGATCCAATAAAACTGTAAACATTAATAATAAAAGTTAGTATAAATCATTTTTTAAAAAATTAATTAAATTTTATTAATCCCTAAAAATTAATATTTACCGCAAGTCGACCAACGATATCGATTCTCATTTGTATATCCTTTTTAGTTGCGCCCAACAACTTCCTCTCGGTAATTTTATGTCGCCATCTACGTAATATAAAAAAAATAAAAATTTAAAAATCCCAAAAGATAAAATAAAAAAATTATTAAAAAATCATGTTGAAAATTATCTTGCAACGAGAGAAAACTCAATCGGGGTTGGTGTAATTGGCGTAAAAATGGGAACCGGTACAACGCCCATGATTGTAGCAGGACTAGACAACCCGCTACATCCGTTTTTTGACCTCGTTCGACGATTGAAGCCTTGCAAAGTTCTCGGTATAGGGAAGCCAAAATCATTGAACCCCAACTAGTGTTGCGACACTCAATAAATTTTCCAATATCGGAAGATATTGAACGTGTGTCAACTTACCAAATTTATCTGGTAACAAATTCCTTCAAATCAATTGGAGTAGATACACTCGGGCTACAAAAATCACCTTAGCCTCAATATAGTCGTCCATCACTTGAATTTTGGGCTCCAACCAAGTGATATGTGTTCGGACCCTCTAAGACCTCTAATGGTGGCATCTTTCCCAAAATTTGGTGAACAATTCCGAATCGGTCGAAACTATTATGCCTCACTACTACCACACCATTAGGCATTAATCGGAACACCGAGTTGATAAGCGATATCTTCCAACGTAATTGTCGCTTCACCACTCAGAAAATGAAAAGTATGTATCTTCGGCCTCAAACGTTCAATCAGAGCCATAATCAATGTCGAGTTCATCTTAAAACCACGCAGAAATATCGCTGGTACAACCTGGATTGTTGCAAATATATAATATTTCGTTGATGTAGATCTCTCAGAGTCATTTCTCGTTGATGAACGCTCTGTTCTTCTTTCGGACCGAGCTCGAGGGAAGAATTATGAACATCATCGAGGCATAACATTTCTTCGTGGGTAGACATTTTTCAAAATATTCGAATTACTCTCAATTTTTTGTTTGATGAAACAAAATAAAAACATAAACCCCAAACCCCTATTTACAACCTAAAAATTAAAGACCATAAACGGTTAGTTTTTTTTCTCAAAAATCCCACCAAAATCGTCACTTGAGGTGACGAGCTCCATGTGATCGTTGTAGTTGCCCGTTGTGCAAGGGCTACAAAAGACTAGTTTTTTAAAATTCAAGGCAAACTTATTACATAGACATGACGAGTTTATCGAGATTATTTTATTTTATTTTTATTTGAATTATTTAATTAATATAAAAATAATATTCTCAGTGAACTCATCACGTCGAGGTGACGAGCCCTATTAGGTATTAAAATATTAACCCACGTGGGACCCATATACCTAAGACCAATAAAAAAAATATTTTCAAGCGAATTCGTCATCTCGACGTGACAAATTTATCCGTTATTGTAGAAAATGTCGTAGATCCTAGATTAAAAACCCTATTGGTGTATTGGGCCAAATAATTTACCCACTTTAGTATTGGGCCAAATAATTTACCCACTTTAGTATTGGGCCAAATAATTTACCCACTTTAGTATTGGGCCAAAACCCCCGAGTTTGGTCGAGTACTCAATTTTTTTTTAAAAAAAAAGAATAGGTCCAAGCTCAGACCACACAAATTGCATCTTTTACTATTTAAAGATTTGATTTTATATTACTTATAGTGCTCATGAATCAAATCGAGGCTCACATATATTTTCTTAAAATAATAAAATATATGATATCATATTAATATTTTTAATTAAAATTAAATTAAATAAAAAAAACTTGAAAACCAATTTAATTGTGTTCAAATTAACCTAGCATACATACCAAAAATCTGTAATCAGAATCTGATGAGCTGAATCGATCGAGTCAAGTTAAAGATATATGGTTCTTATTTCATGTTGGGAAATAACTCATCTGTCTCTTATTGCTTATTAAAAGTGTTTTTGAGGCCAAACCTCAAAAAGTACTTTTGGAGCTATAACCGTGTTTGTATGAAGAGAAGTTTTAATAAAAAAATGTATTATTTAATTTAAAATTATTTTTATTATTAATTAAATAAAATATTTAAAAAAAAAATTGAAAGGCATTTAAAAAAAAGCAGCTTTCCAGAAATGAAATGTATAAAATGTTGAATCCCAACCTAAATATCCTTTTACATGAGAGCTAAAAGATGAGCAATTATCCAGCTAGACACCATATTTTTGTTTCATTTCGGATGCATAGAAATAAAAATACGAGATTTTTTAAGCACATTTGAATTTACAAGTACTTCTTTAAGTGAAAAAAGAAAGGCAGATCAAGCTGGGTCTAACCTGGGAGAACCTCTCCCTGTAATTTCTAAATGCTTACATGCTGTATCAATCTTCACAAAAATGGAGACTGGGGGGCCTTCAACATCAGGAAAACTCTGCACAAACAAGATGTCAAATATGATGCAAATTCCACTGATATATTCAATAATATGTGCAATACACTCTAAGCAAACACTTAAATTACTCAAACGTGTGCAAGTATCTGCTACGGACATGTTTATTTATTTTTACTTTTTTGCTCAAGTTTTGTGTATTTAGAGGGTAATATCTTCAAATATGGCCGCAGGAACAGATGATTTCCCCCGACACTACATAACCAACAGTTCAAGTCTTGAAAATGTGTCATTGTCCCAGAGCATGTAGTACCGAGTCCGCTAGACCCAAAATTTCAATATGAATATTTTTATACATTCTTTTTGCATCAAATATACTGTTTACGTAAAACGGAATATACACCAGACAGTAGTTACCTAGGAACAGACTTGAGGACAATGGAGGTGCAAAAATTGGATGAATTTTTGGACGGCAAAGTGATCTTTATATGCCATCAGAAAAATCCACCATAAACTTTCATGCTATATCCAAACTAGGAAATCCGGATAGAAAATACTGGCTCCAAGTGCTGTCACCTTTTATTTCCGTGAAAGTAGGTAGGAAACGTTGCCGACTTACTCAATACTGCGATCTACGCAGCCTCTTCTCTTGGTTAGCTGATTGAAACAAAACATGAGATTACTACAGGTTACTGTCAAGGTGAACCAATCAATGGAGAAACAAAACAAGTGATGTCATGCACGTCAATTGTCTTACTATATGGATATACACATTTCGCATGCCACTCGTTTAACATAACTTAGCAACGGAGATGATAAATTTGGTACGTTCAACTTGTTACTATTCTCATCCAATCCATTCAAAACAAGAAGATTCTGTCAAAACTATGTAATGCAGGCAATGTGATAGTCAAGAAAAGTCATTGCAAGAACAATATAGTATCTCCCCATATGGGGTTCACTTAATGAATCATATCAAAACCACTGTGCTCCATTTAAGACTGCATATCAGCAACCAAGTAAAAAAGAAAGGGTTATACGTATCATGTCTTAACTCACATCTTGTCACATGGGTAATTGGATACTTGCTTTCACATGTTCGAGCATGATAACAGCATTAGAATTTCCAATATAAAGCACCTTCATTTTTTCATCAGAAAAAAGGACCAGAAAAAAAAAGCAAAAATTTTCAGGATTCGTCTCACAGTAGAGAGTTGAATTCACATATAGCCTCACTCATAATTCCGTAAATTACTAACCTTGTATAAATATTTCTTTCTGAGTTTAATTGCAGTGCACACACATCTTTTCACATGGATTTTAGACACTTATCATTGAAAATCTGCAATAGAAAAGCAAAGAAAAACAATTGAAATCAAAGCAAGAATTCCAGCTGTCCTAAATAAAGAATGGAAAATCTTCCCCATTTCAATTTTGAAGTTCTTTCTACAGCAGAAAAATATCATAAAAAGGTATTGATAGCAAGCATTTTTCCTTTGGAAAAGTTGTACATAGAAATCAACCCTTCCATCAAAAACATTTCTCACACACCCGGAATTTATTGGCATACACAACAGAAAGAAAGACTTTAAAAATAACAGGTTATACAGGAAATAAATCGGCCACAAATATACAAATTATGCACTCACTCAAAACCTGAGTTCTCTGGTAGGTTAAATTTCATTTAAGCACAAAAATAGTTTCTATGAAAATTTAGTATGGAACCAACTTATAAAAAAATCAAGCAACACAGGTGAGATCCCCCCAAGTTTCACTTGTAAGGTTCAATATAGCTATAGCTAACCACTGTCCAAGTGTATAAAAGTCAAAAGTATGGAAGATAACAAGAGAACATGGGAGAGAGAAAAGTTAAAAGGGAAAATAGATTCCGGCGAGGTCTGGAAGGCTTTTGTCGATAATCTTAGCAGGAGAGTTTCTCGGCGAGAGCTTAGGGATATCTTTTCGTCCCATGGGACTGTGGAGAGAGTTTTCATCCCGAAAGAAACTAAAAATCCAAAATACAGATTTTCCACTTTCGCTTTTGTTCAGTTTGAGAGGGAATCTAGTTTGAAGAGGGCAATCGAGATGTTGAACGGTTCACTGATAGATGGGAGAAGGATTTCTGTTGGAGTTACTAAATACAATGATGCTCGTCCAAGGATTGTGGCAAACAAGAGTCCAGTTAAGTTGGTTCCAAATTTGTCCACAGCAGGACCTCCTAAGTTGAAAGAGGTAGATTTATCCAGTAGGAGTGTTAGAGATGATAGAACGTACAGAGATGCTTTACTTACTGAGGTTACGAGGATGAATGCATTGGAGTATAGGGAGAAATTTTCTGAAGGGAGCCATAGGGAGAAAACTAAGAAGAATGTATTGGAAATGTATATCCCAACCGAGGGTCGGAGTTGGGTCAGAAGATCTTTAACGGGGATTATTAAGCTCTCTCTTGATTTTAAGTCAGTTTATGAGTTTTTCCTTAGTAACGGTTATGAAGTTCAGATTGCTGGTTGGGGTTATGCCCGTAATTCCTGTGCTATCATCTTCAAATCTCAAGAGGAGATGTCGGAGGCATGGACAAAGAAGAGAGGTGTAATAGGCTTCTGGTTTGACAGATTGACCCCTTTACTGAATGAAGAAGGAGTGCCAATGGCTTTCTGCCAGCTCGAGTTATCTGGGGTGCCTCTGTTATGCTGGGATGAATCTTTTTCGATACGAGTTGCTGGGAGATGGGGGAATAACGTAGAAATTCATGAGTCCACAAAGAACAGGGATGATCTCACGTCTGCTAGAATTCTTATGAGAGTTGCTAGTCCTTTTGATGTTCCCGAATTTATTACTCTCGGCTCCTATGGTAGATCGTATAGAGTCTCCATTAAAGTTGGATCACCTAGTGAAGATTCAAATCCTTTTTTTAAATTTTCTCCGGCGACCGGAACATTTGGGGAACAGTTTAGTGAGACGGGGTCTGAGGAAGGCGATTATAGGGGGAAGTCAGATTATAAGGAAAGTTCAGTCAAATCAGCTGAGACGTTCAGACAAAAGGTTGACTTGTGGATTGAAAAGGGCATGTCCTTTGGTTCATAAGGTACTGATGGGGAAAAACATCTTCCAAGACTTACTAAACATGGGAAAAATATTAATGAAGGAGTGTCAGATGGTCAGAACGTTGGGAATATCAGAGGTGACTTTGCAGGTCTGGGTATCAGATTTTCAAAAAGTTCGACTGATGGGCCAGAAGCCCAATCTGAGGACTTTGAACTGGGTGGTTTGGAGGCTTCTAACATAATTCCTTCTGGGCCAGCGTATACAATCAATAAATTTGGTAAATTGGTCCAGAACAGGGGAATTGCAGAAGCAAGCTGTGTCAGAAAACAATATAAGGGGTTCTGCTCTATTCCAGGTTCGTCTGGCAGTGCAGATCTGGAGGTTAATAAAACTAACTCTAAGCTGACAGTTCCTAGTTCAGAACTATCAAAGAGCTTATCAAGGGGCAGAACGAGGGTGGTGCGTAGAAGTTCCCTTTCTACAAAAAGTGAGCCTCTTCAGAGGAGGGAAATGGCTAGCTTTAGAAGAGTCTACAGAAGATGTAAGGAGAGGAATTACTGGTACGGGAATGATCAAAAAGAAAATAATGCTACAGAGGATGTGATAGGTCTAAAGAAGGCTAATGAACAGGATTATACGACGGTTCTCCAGATTACTACAACATCAGAGTCTAATTTACGGGGCAGTGAGGTTCCAAATTTAGTGGATAAAGCTGGGGCCAGGAGTTTGGTTGAAGAGTCTGAGGGTGGTGTTGAGGAAAAACATTTGTCTATCTACAATTCTGACACTTCTAAGAGAAGGGCAAGAAGAATTCTGGTTAGAGAAGCTTTAGAACATGTCAATATTTATACAGCATCTTCTTCAGGTTTCTCGGAAATCTTGGATGAAGCAGTAGCTACATGGCAAGTTAGTCAGATTCTGGGGGTTTCTTTTACACAGGGGAAGGAAGCTTTCTTGGATAAAATTATTGAGCTAGAGAAAGGTTTGAAGGTGGCAAACTGAGTTGCCATTTTGGGGAAACTAGATTATTCATCAGTTTTTATGAAGGATAAACTAGCTATAATTTCATGGAATGTCAGGGGTTTGGGAAAAAGAGAGAAACAAAGAGCAGTTCAGAGATTAGTCTCCAACTATCATCCTTCTTTTCTTTGGTTACAAGAAACTAAAACAGAAAACATCCACAGGTCTTTTTTGAGAAGGAAGGGATTGAATATTTTTCAGGGGGTTATTGAATCTCCAGCTACTGGTTCTTCAGGGGGGTTATTATTTTGTTGGGATGAAAATGTGTTTGAAATGGAAAATCACAGTATTAACAGAAGATTCATTGCGGTTATAGGGAAATTCAGATTTAATCAGTTCGGAAGTATTCTCATTAATGTTTATGGGGACCCTCAGTGGATGAAGAAAAAGAAAGTTTTTTTGAAGAACTGAGTGTGTTCATTACTGGACAGGATCTGCCTGTTTGTGTTGGAGGGGACTTTAATGTCTACTTGTGTGAGGATGAGAAGGTGGGCAGAGCTCAGAACAGACTTTCAATGATGATTTTCACTCAGTTTATTCAATCAACAGGTCTAATTAATCTGCCTTTGAATGGGGGAATGTTCACTTGGTGCAATAACCAAGATGATCCGACTTTTGTTAGGTTGGACAGGTTTTTTGTGGACGGACAATTTTTGGATGGTTTTCCCGAGATAATTCAGTCACTTATTCCTAAATCTATTTCAGACCATAATGCTATTCTTTTACAAGATGGCAGAGTTGATTGGGGGAAAAAACCTTTCAGACTATTTAATTATTTGATGGAGGAAGAAGGTTTTGAGGAAATGGTTTGTCACACTATAGCAGATTGCAAGAAGGATGGGAGAAAAGCTGGAATCCTAAGTGTTTTGAAGAAGTCTAAGGTTGCCATTAAGAATTGGACAGGGCAGAAAAATCAATTTCTGGGAGCCTCAATCTCAGATTTGGAAAGGAGAATTCACAAGTTAGAGGAGGATGTTCAGATGTTGCAGGACAGCTCGGTTCAAGGGAAAATCGAGGAGTTACGTAATTGTAGATCAGAGTTGTGGAGACTCCTTAGAATTGAGGAACATATTTGGTATCAAAATTCCAGAAAGAAG